CATTCCTGCAAGGGGCTTTTTCTGTTGCCTTTATTTGTTCTGTTGTGGTAGCGCTGGAGGAAAAAAAGTGAGTGCCAACTTTCTGAAATTCTAGAGATCTTGCTACAGATATCTAGAAAATACTTGGAGGAATTTAAATAATACAAGTGTGGTTGCGAGTAAATGAGGACGCTCCTAATCTTTAAATAAGTACGAGCCAGAACTTTTCTTCTTTGTTCCGTCACCACATCCAGAAACAACTGTAAAATTACTTTATTTTTCAGAGCCTACGAACATGCAGTCTTAGCTGCTGGGACAGATTTCCGTTCTGACAGACTATGGGAAATGTATATAAACTGGGAAAACGAACAGGGAAACCTGAGGGAAGTTACGTCCATATATGACCGCATCCTTGGAATTCCAACGCAACTCTACAGTCATCATTTCCAGAGGTAAGGAGAAAACAAAGATTTAGTTAACGGTATGAGTTTCTTAGGTACATGCTAACCTACTTCTGTAAACGTGACAATGTTCACTCAGCACAAGAGCTTGAAATAGTTACTGAGTTTTACATAGTTATTTACTTATGTACTCATACAGTTTGACTGATTGTTTTAAAGTACTGATACATGTTTTAGGCATTTGGGTTTAGATAAATTCGCAAATTCTGCTGTGGAATAAAGGAAGGCCTTGGAATTGTGAGGAAGAAGAGAGGATGTCTTTGAAAAATCAGAATGAGCAGTTTTGGACTTCAGTTCCTCATGCAGTGCTCGCATGTGGTGAAACACTGATTTAATTGACTAAAGAGAAATACTTGGTTAAGTTTTAGGTAGTAGAATTCTTCATTAATACAGAGAGGAGGAACCAGAGGGAACCAGAAACCTTAGTTAAATTATGGACCAGTTTTCCCCATAATTTCTACAGATCTTTTGGTTTTGGAAATAAAGTATCTTCCTCTAAAACTGGTCTTGTCCTTTGCCCGCAATTTTGCGTGGCAAGTGGTCTGTCTTCGCCACTGAAGTTCATTGCCCTTTCATTTCTCTTTGAAATGCGAAGCTTTTGAAGTCTGATAGACAGCAGAAGTTGCATTTTGTTTCTATGTTGTCAGAAGTTGCGTTCTCAGCGTTGCCCTAGATTGATGAAGCAATGCAGAACCCCGCTAGGATTTGTTATTGTGCTCTGGTTATGCAGAGTATTGCAACATAAAACATCACATTTGTGTTGACTTGTTTCTAACCGCGCTTAGGTTTAAAGAGCATATACAGAACAACTTGCCTCGAGACTTTCTGACTACTGAGCAGTTCGTTCAGCTGCGCAGAGAGCTAGCGTCTGTGAACGGCCACAGCGGGGAGGATGCGCAACCTGGAGACGACCTGCCCTCTGGTACTGAAGATATAACTGACCCTGCCAAGGTACGTACGCAGAGCGCGTTCCTTGGCATCTCTTGCCGTACTCTGTGGCTGAAAGGGGAGTTTGTCTGCAGACCATTTAGTATGTCTGTAGCTGAGGTGTTCCCATGGTTCTCCTGCACATCGTTGCTCTTTGGCTCATGCGATAACTGCTTTTGTCTACAGGATGTGCCTCTGGCGTTTTCATAGGTATTAAAGAAATGGAGTTCAAAAGTTAAAGAAGTGATGTACGAAACTTTAGGAATGAATGTTAATTATTCCAGTGAACAGGTTAGGAACTGTGTTCTGAGCACGCTCTTCATCAGCAATGGTCTGTGCAGGTTCAAAGCGTTCAAAACCTGGAGCCATCCAAAGGAACTGCTGACTGAAAACGTGCATGTACTGAAACCAAGTTTGATTTGGATCCAAATTCATCTTTAACCTCAATCATCTTTAACATAAGAGCAAAACTTCAGATAGGAAACCAATTTGGCTGGGTTGCACTAAGGGCCAAGGCCCCATCAGGGCAGCATCCCATCCCTCCCCCCGGCCGTTCAGGGGAACGTTTAACGTGTCTGTGATACTTCGAATTTATGCGTATGACTGTCATCATAAAATGCGTTTACTTAAGGTGATGCGGTGTCTACCTGTGTTACATTTTTTAAAATTATGTTTTAGCTAATCACCGAGATAGAAAACATGAGGCACAGAATCATTGAGATTCATCAAGAAATGTTTAACCACAATGAACACGAAGTCAGTAAGAGGTGGACGTTTGAAGAAGCGGTGAGTTTGTTCTTTCTGTGTAAGGCAGCATGCGCAAGAGCGTTGAGCGTAAGACTGGGAGCTAGGAATTTTGAGTAACAGTTAGGCCTTGCAATTTAAACTGTTGTGGGGCTTTGAGCAGAGATCAAGCTTCACTTCTGCCATTTTACTTGTGAAAAGGCAACTTGTGGGGTCAGCTCTGTCATCTGACGACTTAAAAATCTTTAAGCAGTATTCAGAGAGAGGCAAGATGGTGTATTGTTTACTAAGCAGTCTTTAAATACGCGTGCATGAAATGCAATGTCAGTACTGCCTTTGCATGTGGGGCGTTGCAAAATAATACGGACTGAAGGTAATGCTGATTGAAAAGGTAAGCCTGTCTTAAAGAGAGAACGAAATTTGTATGGTTTTGTATTTTAATGTTACACTCTTGAATGTGCAATCACGTAGCTTTTGTTTTCCAAAAGTAGCCATCGTAACATGCAGCTCCTATGCATGATGTGTTAAAAGTAATAATTAAACTAATCATTTGATCACTGCAAATATAGAACTTTTTCTATGTAGAATTAAGTTTGGGTACTTTTGAAAAAACAACCCGAGTTTTTAATTCTCAGTCTTTAATTTTTTTTTCCTTCCTGGCAAATATCATATTGCGTAACATGGTTCTTGTTTTAAATTTACTTTCTTTTTAAAAAGTACATTGTATTAAACAGCTGGGACAGATTTTCAGAGACTCCTGACTGGGTTATGTGATGTCAGAACTGTTACGGTGCTTATTGCGCTTTGCTGGACTAGGCCAGGTACCATAAGCCAGAGGAACTCGAAAACGTAGTCCGTCAGTATAGGTATGCTTGGCTCAGGAAACCTTAAGCTACAAATTACGGAAACTTGGGAGAATGCTAAAACTGTGGACGTGCTGCAGAAAACGTGCAAGAAGCAGGGTGTGTCCTCTCTTGCTCCTGGCCAGAATCAGTACTCTTTCTACCAAGAGTGTGTATGTGCTCTGTAGGTACTACCGTGCTGGATCTACGAGGAGTTTGACATAAAGTTGTACATGTCGTTATAACGGACAGAAATGAGGTAGATAGGCAACAGATGTCACATAGGTGAAGGAGACAGCTTCGACCTGCTTCACTGTTATTTTAGCAGGAGCAATGTACCTGTGAATTTGTCAAAATGGAAAAGGAGTATTGGGTTCCGTAGTAGAGTTCAGTGAGGAGCGTGAAGGGGGTGATTGGCTTTAAATTTCAGGTGGCCTTGAAGAATTGAATGTTACTCCTTAGGTCATTTAAGCTCTTTATTCATTTGTATGTATTTGTATCTGAGATGGAATTGCAGTACAGGAGAGAAATAATCGGGTAAAATTAAAGATGAAGGAGAGAAAAAGCAAAAGATCTCTGGAAGGATGCTTTGCCACGTTTACTTCAAAGCAACGTTTAAATTTTCTGCGCTGAACTCTGTCCCACCCAGCTCCTCTTGGAGTCATCAATAAGAATGCAATCTTGCTAGCTCTTGGAATAGTCAGCTTAATGTAAATATTTAATATGAAGTTCAAGTCAATGCTTTGTTTTTCCTTGTCGTGATTCTAAACCAAACTTTGAATTTAATTTGTAGGATGTGCGCTAGTACGACAGTAAGTACTTTAGTTGTATGTATGTACGTGGACCATACTCGTTGTTTATAATGTCATTGTTAGGCTGTGAGCGCAGGTTTGCAAGCGAGTAACTGCATTGAGTTCTTTCTCAGCTTCCATAAACGCTTGCCCTGAAAAAGGTTTCTAGAAAAAGAAGTTACTAGCCTAGAACGTAATTGGCAGGAAAATCTCTTGATCGACTCTTGGGTAAGCCCAGCAGACCGACTTGACGAGATAATGACGTATCATTCTGAGGTCCTGTTTATTTACGTGGCATCACTTGAGTGGTCTGTGGCTGTTCATTTTGTATTTTTTTTTTTAAGCAACTCGGTGGTATGCTTATTGGTCACAAGTTGCCGTCCTGTGACTCTTGCAGATAAAGAGGCCTTACTTTCATGTAAAACCTCTGGAGAAAATTCAGCTGAAAAACTGGAAAGAGTACTTAGAATTTGAGATAGAAAATGGCACTCATGAACGAGTTGTGGTCCTCTTTGAAAGATGTGTTATTTCATGTGCCCTCTATGAGGACTTCTGGATCAAGGTAAGGGAAGTGGTTTACCACCTATCTGCTACGGATTGCATACATTGATCTAGTGACTAACCTTTTGTACTCTTGTGGAATGTTGTTCATATATAACTATATCTGTTGCATTAGGAGATGGTCTGCTTGCAACCAGATTTGACTGCTGCATATGCCAACTTCGTTGCCTCTCTACGTCCTTCCTTACAGAAACTAGTCTAGTGGTTCAATAAAGGTGCTGAATGGGTTTAAACAAAAGAATTTTATCGTTCTGGCATGTTTTTAAAGGCAAATGCAAGCTTTAAATTTTTCAATCTCTGCTCTGTTTTCAACTATAGTATGCCAAATACATGGAGAATCATAGTATTGAAGGAGTGAGGCATGTCTACAGCAGGGCTTGCACGATACATCTCCCTAAGAAACCGATGGTTCACATGCTGTGGGCTGCCTTTGAGGAGCAGCAGGGTAAGAGCAACAACAGTTTTTGCTGGGAGGGATTCTGGTTTTAAGAGGCTGTTGGATGTCTCATATCTTAAAGCATCTTCACCGGTGTTTTAGGCAACATCGATGAAGCAAGAAGAATCTTGAAAACATTTGAAGAGTGTATTCTAGGGCTAGCAATGATTCGCTTACGGAGAGTAAGCTTAGAACGCAGACACGGAAACATGGAGGAAGCTGAGCACCTGCTTGAAGATGCTGTTAGGAATGCCAAATCAATTAGCGAATCGTCGTTTTATGCCATCAAATTAGCTCGACACCTCTTCAAAGTGCAGAAAAATCTTCCAAAGGCAAGAAAAGTGCTGTCAGAAGCCATAGAAATTGACAAAGTATGTGTTCCCTCTTTGCTCTGTTACATACCAGGATCTTTTTTTTTTTTCTCTCTCTCTCTTTCTGAACCATTTTTTTAAAAACATGGCAACAATGATGACAGGAATTGTAACTGTATGTAATGTTTCATTACTACATGGAGACACCAGTCCCTCTAAACTGATGTTGCCGTGTTCGCAGCTTGCAAATCTGGAAGTTTGCAAATTTTTTTCACCAGAAGCACAATGTGCTTCATGCCTTCATTTTTCCTTTTTAGAATCTTAAATATTACAGGCGTGTTCACATCTCAAGGTGAACAAAATTGGTCGTGTAGGCAGTACTCGGAGATCGTTTTGTATAGCCACAGAAATATTTAGCACTCCAAATACTATTTGCTTACTGTTAGCAAAGCATGCCATCTGGTTCTGTAGTGTTAGATCGCTTCTAATCTATTTGTGAAGCCAACCGGGTCGCAGATGACCAGTGTAAAAAGAAAATCTTTTTGTAGACTTATTCTAGCATGTATTTATGTTGTAAATGTTCTGGTATGCATCCGGTAGACAGACATTCAGCGTGAAAAACCTAACATGACTTAAGATGCGCAACTTCTAATACATCTTTTGAACAGGAAAATACGAAACTGTATCTCAACTTACTTGAAATGGAGTACAGTGGCGATCTCAAGCAAAATGAAGAAAACATCTTGAGCTGTTTTGATAAAGCTGTCAATGGCGCACTGGCTATAAAAATGAGGATTACGTTTTCGCAGCGAAAAGTGGAGTTTCTTGAAGATTTTGGTTCTGATGTAAACAAGTAAGATGTAATCTGTGCAACGGCCAAATTAGGGTCACCAGAAGAGTGCTTGTAGAAGTAGTAGGGAAGGGGTAGGGTTAGTGACATCCATTAAATTTTCTTTTGTGCCATCAGCTCTTTGTTGAGGGATGGCTGCTTTTCTAAACCAAACTCCTGGTTTTAAATATGAATATCTTTTCAGAAAATCATCCCTTTTTTTTTTTTTTTTATGAAGTACCTAACGCCTCATAGAGCAAAATTATGCTGCCCGTAACTTCACACTGTAGTTTTCTCTTGCTAAGTCTTACAAAGGAGGACATTCCCCAGAGAGAACGTGAAGTGTTTTGTGGCGCAGGTATAACTTGATACCCCGTACCCTGTGAGCTTGCTGCTTGAGGTTTCCAGAACTGCAGCGGTTTGGTTTTTCTACGTTCAGAAGTATGAACAGCGCTGTACACTTATGTGGGAGGATCAGATGCTAGAAGCACAACTGTTTAATTAAATACTAGATAGACTTTTTTCCTCTTAATTCTCTATTGTAAAAAAAGAGCTCTTGTTTTTATTTACATTTTGCAGCTCAATAACTTGGAAGGGCTAACCACGAGTTAGTTTTTCTGCTTTGTATGCTTTTTAACAATAGCTGTTCCTAATTTCTGCTGACTCTGACCACTTTAACTTGCATGGCAGCCAAGCATTGCAAGCTTGGGATCTTAGATAGACCAAACAAAATGAAGTTTTCAGTTCCCAAATACTACTAGAGCACAAAATAAGTACAAGAAGCTGTTTTCACAAAGAGCGGTATTGACAGAAGAAACAGTTTTCATGTGGTACGTTGCAAACTGTGGTGTGCAGCAGATGAAATGATATTTAGAGATTTGTGGGAATTTTAGCTAGGAAATAGAAGTATTATTCTTCTACTCATCAATATGTGGTTATGCTTGGTATATAAATAATATGACTCTTCTGTGCTGCACTAAATTTACCTGTGCTTCCCACGTTGTTTGGGAAGAGGCTGTAAGGTGCTGCTCTGGAATTGTTAGAGTTTTGTATAATAGTCATTTCCAATATTTAAAGAAATGTTGATTCCTAAATATCAGTGCTGCTGTGGATGGCATCAGCACGCAGCTGAGGGAACGCAATCACTGAAGAAGCAGCTGTATCGCAAATCAGTTTTAGAAAACTTTATAAAGAAACTGTGTAGAAGAACTGCATGGAGTGTGATAAAAGTTGAGCAAGTTGGGAGTTTCTGAGCTCACAGAAAATTTTTCACTCTGCATTGTGGAATCCCCCTTCAAATTAAGTTTTTTTGGCTTTCCCATCTTCATGGTTGATCAGTGATTAAAAATTGATTATGCTTGAGTTTGTTTTAGAATGGTTTTGTATTTTTACAGTTTGAAGTAGACATTTTAAAATGGTCGCTCACGTGTTTAAAATGTTTATGTGAAAATGGCGAGCAAAGCTTTCTTTCTTTTTGTCTCCTCCAGGCTTTTGGATGCCTATGACGAGCATCAAGCACTTCTAAAGGAGCAGGATTCTTTAAAGCGGAGAGCAGAGAACGGGTAGGCAGTCTGTTCGCCTGAGGGTGTGACTGACGCCGTAGATGATGCGCTGCGGGGTAGCTGGAGCGCGTCCTGCGCTGAACTGTAGCTGGTACAAAGCGCTTTGGAAATGCTTTAAAAACAGTTCAGAGAACAGGCTTGGAGACTATATTTTTTTCTTTAATCTATGGATATATACACACATACGCTTTCCAGCTTTAAACCTACTGCTTGCAAGAACAAAATTGCTGGTTTTTTAATCACTTGAAGCATGTACTAAATAGGGCCATGCTGTTGGCTGAAATATTTGGAAACAGATTAATTGGAAAATAACTTTTTGAATTATGTATCGGAGGGAAAATTAAAGGGTACTGGTAAAAATAACTCAGTCTCTAAGCAGAAGCGTGCTTTTGCTGTCTCAGTTTGGGCACCAGAGCAATTTAAAAACCAGACTATTGTTCTGAAGCACAATATACTGCTGTCTTTCTCTACATCAAAATTCTGTTACCCTGTTTCAACATTTGAAAATGTTTCTTGCCCTTATCTGTCATTTCTACACGAAGACATGCTCGGAATTTGATCCGATACACCATTTACCAGCAAACGTTAACTTCACAGATCAGAGGAGCCGGATGAAAAGAAAATGCTCACAGACGACCCAACTTTGGCATCAGCGCAGATGATGGACGGAGACATGCAAGTCAATCAGGCGGCGTACAACTACAACGCCTGGTATCAGGTAGGTGGGTGCTTCGCTCCCTTCCTTCAGCGCCCGCGTGCTGGTTTTCCCAGTGACGTTTCCGCGTGGCCCAGCGTCGGTCAGCGGGGAAGGTTTGGAGTGAAAGTTTAGCTGTTGTTTTTGTTGATTCCTCTTTGGGCTATTATGCCAGCGTAAAATATTTCTCTCTGGCGCGGAGCGAGGTGAGCGGTGTGGTGGGTAGCTCTTTACGCGAAGGGAAGCGTGACAGCAGCTGGGGACGCTGCTGGCTCAGGGCAATGCGTCTGTTCCGTGCTGAAGTGTCTTGCCCAGGAGAGTCGCCTTGGCGTGCCAGTTTACGGGGCGTTTGCATAGTTGCTTTCTCCTGCTCGTCGTTCCTGTAACGTCTCGGTACGGGTTCTGCTGTGCTGGCACATGGCGCACGCGAAATGGGTCTGTTCCATAGCTTGCCTTTTGGGGCCGTTCTCGCGTGGCGTTTCCTTTTGTCCCCCGCGGGCGCTTAAAGAGTCAGTCAGGGCTACCGCACCTCGGCTCTCTCGTCGTGCCTGCGGCAGCAGCAGCCTCCAGCGCGTGCTCGGCTTGCTTCTGGGCTGAGGGGCCGTTCTGGGTTCCCGCTTGCCCAAGGGGCAGGCCTGAAGTCAGAGCTGGGATTGATACCGGCAGAGGTGGGCGCTGCTGGTGCCCCTCAGCTGCGCGGGGAGCCGCGCGTGTTCTTCCGAGCTGGGAGTCGTAGCGGGTCCGACTGAAACTGCTGCTGA